AAAATAAGAAAATTTGATTTTATATAAAAAACGTTTTATTTTTAGAGCAGTTTATAATTTAACTTATTTAATTATATTTATAATACTTTTACATTGCTAATAGAGTGAACGCAAATAAACAGTAAAATATAAAAGCAAAAGATTGATAAACAACGCAAAAAGAGAAAACAAATTTCTCAAAAAGAAGATTATTATTTAAAATAATAAAAATATATATGCATATGTTTATTAATAATGTATTAATAATCTAAAGTCATTTAACTAATTGACTATTAATTACTGATTTCTGATTTAAAGAAGTTTTATTAGTAAAAATTTATTTCATTTTCAGTTAACAAAAGTAATTGCTTAAGTTTTGTTTTGAATAGGTTTAGAGAATTGTTAGTTTTCAGTTCATTATTTAATATTATATTCTAAAACTTTGGTTCTCGTTTTACAATAGAGAAGTTGTTAGCAAAATGATAAGTTTTGGATTAAATGTAATTGTATTTTGAAAATCTAATAGTGCATATGTTATTTATTTTTTTAAGAATTGAATAAAATAAGATTGGTAATATATTTTTATCAAGTTTGAACATGAAAATAAGAACTTGATAGAGGTTTAGTTTATATACATTTAGGATATTGAGTTCATTAAAAAGTGTTTGTGTGTGTGAAAAACGATCTACGTTTTAAATTATCCTTATAGCTTGTTTTTGTTTGCTTAGCAATTTTTTTATTTTCGTCGCGTTAGTGCTACACCAAGCAATGTTCGCATAACTTAAGTAGCAATGAATAAAAGAAAAGTAAATGTTTTTTAAACAAGATTGATGTAATAACTGCTTTGCTTTGTACATTATACCTAAATTTTTTGATATTTTATCTTCAACTACACCTATGTGTTCCCTCTAGGTTACATTTTCGTCTAGAAACAGGCCTAAAAACTTTATTGATTGCTCTCTATTTATTAATTGATTGTCAATAAAAAGGTCTGGGAGTTTTAAGGGAATATCTGAATTATTATGTAAGGGATGGAATAACGTGTTTTTTATTTTAGTAATATTTAAAGATTACTTGTTTGATTTAAACCATTGGGTTAGTTTGTCTAGTTCTTTATTTACTGTTTGAAATAATATATTGATATCTTTATTGGAACAAACTGGAATCCCCTCTTTTTTTTTTTTTTTTTTTTTTTTTTTTTTATAATTTAGCCGTACAAATATTTACAAGTTCCGTAATTTAAAATATTTAAAAATGGCAAGGACGAGAAGAAGACGGGGTTGTCTTATCACCAAGTCCCTTGTTTGTCTAGACATTTATATAAATACATGGTAACTAAAATGAAAATTAAAAAATTAAGAAAAAAGCAAAATATTACAAAGAAGTTTATTTAAAATGCCAAATAGTTTAATAGTTCAAAGTTTTGAAAGATATTTTTTCGATTTTATTTTTTGAAAGAAAAATTTAAAAGTTCATTCAGAAAATCAAAAATATCAAAAAACTAAAAAACATGAAAAAAGTAAACGTAAAATTTAATTTACAATCTGTTCTTATAAAGTGTAATATATTAATTCCTCAAAAATAAATTACAAAATTTTAATATAAAAAATTAAAACTCAAAAAAGATTACTTTTTTTATTTTTCCTCTCTCTCTCTTATTTAAGAAAACTAATAAATTTATTTAAACTAATGAAATCTAAAAATGCTAAAAATCTTTATAAGTACTTTTTTTATAATATAACAGACTGTAATACCTATATAAAATTAAAGAATTTAGACCTCCATATGTTCGAAATAATATATTAATATCTTTATTGAAAACAAGTTGGTATCATCTCCACATAAAATTGTGTTTAAAATGTTAGAAAATTTATATAAATCGCTTATATAAACGAGAAATAGAAGTGGTCTTATAATTGATCCTTGAGAAACACCACATTTAATTGTCTCATAATTAGTTCTTTCTTTATCATATACTATATACTGTTTCCTATTAGTCAAATAACTGTCGAACCCCGGTTCGAGTGTTATTTGTCCTGTTATTTGTCCTGACAAGTTTGTATTTTTTATAGCAAAACTTTTGAGTTTCGAGGAAAGTATTTGATGATTGACTGTTTCGAAAGCATTACTTAAATCGATAAAAAGACCTAGGGTATACTTGCCTTCATCAAACGACTTAAAATTGTCTTAAACAAGGTGAATGATTGCATGATCGGTGGAATGGCTAAATTTGAACCCATATTGTTTATGGTAAAGAATATTGTTTACATTTAAAATAGAACAAAGTCTGTTATACAAAACTCTCTCTAATATTTTAAAAAAACAATTCAGAATTGAGATTGGGCGGTAATTTGCAGCATCAGAAGAATTGCCTGATTCAGAAAGATCGCCTGATTCAGAAAGATCGCCTGATCGCCTGATCAATGTTTTAACATATTAAAAAGGCAGGTTAGTTAAAAATTAATTTATGCATTTGAAAAAATTAACACATTCCCAATTTCTTATTTTAGGCATTTTTATGCAGTTTCCATTTTATATTTTATAAAACTATTACATAATCCATATAAACCCTGAGTTTTAATCTTTTTGTGTATATAAATTAAAAGGATTAGCTAACTTCAGGTTTTCTTGTATTATATATGAATAAATATCATTATTTTCACGTTTGAACTATATGAAAATATAAGTTTAATTTACAAAATTTTACAAATAGGTATTTTAAGATTTATAATTAATAAAATAAGTTTGCAACATTTATCTAATTTTGCTGAGACCCAACTATTACATAACCATTTAGAATAAAAAAAAATATAATGTTTTCTGCACATAAAATCGGATGCATCATTAACCCTGTGATGAGCTAGCAACTAGCAAGTTGCTTGTATAGGAAAAACATGCGTAAAAAAAAAAAAAAATTGTTAAAATACGTATTTTAAACGTTTTTAGAACGTTTTGCATCAAGCTTTTTTTTTTCACTGGGTAACTTGTAAAAAACATTATTAGAGACCAGGCGGACATTCACGGATTATAAAACAATTTATATTGGAAATATACATATTGAAAAATGTATAACAATTTCAAATTAATGGACCTCTAGGGGCCGCAAAAGTATTCGACTATATAAGTGAAATTTTAATTAAAAAAAGTACTTCAAATAAAATCATTTTTGTCGACATGTCAAAACAGTACTGTAGTTTAAAAGGTAATACTTGATTGTAGTTATTTATTTAATGAAAAGATAAGTATTAAAATTAAATCTATTTCATATTTGTGAATAACTTAAATTAAACTATCAAATTTTAAAAAAATATAAAAACAAATTATTTAGCAAATATGTATTATAATTCATTGAAAATATGTAATATAATTCAATGCAAATATGTATTATAATTCATTTAAATAAACTTTTGGATAAATTGAAAAAAAATTAACATTTAATCGTATATAGAAAGTTTAAAATGTTGTCTTTGTTTCAGTTCTAAAAGCAGTTGTGAAAAATGAGAGATTGTGATTTATTTTGAAAACTAAATACTGACCGAGCATATAATTGATTTAAATAAATATTTGTTAATTATGACTATTATCTGGTGTAAAGTTTAGATATTGTGTTGCTGATTTTGTGGGAAATATTTTTCTATTCCTAAATTAAGATTTGTTTTCAGATTTGAAATGAAATTGGTTGTACTTAGTAAGGCTGAAAAAAAGAATTGAAAAAATACTTAACAATAACTTAATTAATAAAAAATTTGAAGAAAATTTGAATGTAAATTTGAAAAATTTGAAGAAAATTTGAAGACCGTCTTTGACTTTGGGAGGTAAATAATAATAATAAAAAATGATTGCTGTGCTTTAACAATTTTTTTTTATATAACAGCTCCCCAATTATTTAAAAACGCGCAAGTTCTGTTTGTATTGTATAATCAAGTTGTGTTTAGGTTGGTGGACTAACTTGGTTTAATGTCTAAAGTATAAAAGTAAATAAAATAGCTAGTTGACAACGTTGTTTAATGTTAATAAAATGTTGGTTTGATGTTAAGCATCTAATGTTGTTTAAATGTCTTTTTTGTTGTTAAGAATATATAAGTTAATTTAAAACTTTTTTTGATGCCTATCCAATGTTAGATAGGCGAAAATCAAAATAATACCAATACGTTGGCATTGAAATGTCTTTGGAACTTGGTTATCTCGCGTCGCAACTAAAGTTCAAATAAATCACAACAACGGTTCGACGTCTTTGTTTTATTGGGTGGGTATTCATGTTGCAAAATTTTAAACAAATGATGGTGTAAAAACAGTGTTTCTTAACTAAAAAAAAGGAAAGGAAACACCTATTACAGCACACATTTTTCCTATTTATTTAACAATTGTCCCGTAAAAAGTAATGCGGCATTTAACAAGGGTCACTTTAATAGTAAGTTTTGAGATAAATAAATAGTATCAGATTATCAGCATGAACTTATTCTGAATAAAAGCTATTTTAAAAGTTAAAATACAAAAATTTACGTATATAGATAAACTACTTTGTCTTTAAATGTGGAGCAACAATAATTAAAAGTTCAAGGGTTTAAGTTACAATTGGTGATTAAATATATATCGATTGAAGATACTTAATAAAGAAAATAAGGATTTAATAGATTATTATACTTTTAAAAAAATCTCTTACTTCTCTAGTTTACTTTCAAAGTAAACTAGAGAAGTAAGAGATTGTATTTAAACGTTTTAATTTGTATGTCTTCACAAATATGATTATTTATAAATGGAACAGTTTAACCAATGATGTTATAATTTCAGTTAATGTTCTTACTGTTAACGTTAAACTAAACAAAAATAAGAATGATAACTTAAAAAAAAATCAATATTATGAACTTTTTTTTTTAACTGTTTCAAATATTAATTGTAATTTTTTCTTTTTGGTAAAAATATGCTGGTAAGTAGATTTTGATTTAGAGTTACTCGCACATTTAATACGTTCCAGTATCAACATTATTGTTTTAATAAATTAGTTTTATATTGCATTTTAGAAACCTGTTGAGATTTTAGTACTTCTTATTTGTTTTATGCAACTATATTCAATAAAGTACGATTCCATCACAGATGATGTAAATATCTTATGCCCACAAATTGTTAATGATTCTGTTAAAAGTAAGTTTTATTACTTACGGTTACTTACGGTTAGGACATTTTTAATGCTAAATTATTTGTATTTGTGTTTTTTAAATTTCCTTTTTTAAGTTTTGATAAAAAGTTTTTTCACTTATTTTAAAGTCTAAATGGAAATATAATTAGCAGGAAGACTTTTTACGATCTACATTAATATGTATGAATTACACGTTCCATCTAAACATATAGTCTTTAGGTGTCAAGATATAAACTGTAAAATGGAGATTGTTGATCATTAAAAAGATATATAATTTTTTAAACATAATAATATTCTTATATAGCAGCAGCAGTAAGTAACCGTTAATACGGGTTTGTAATAAATAATAACAACTAGCTGTCATAACCCATGCGGTACGGGTCTTTGTAAGTCAATTCCACACTCGGCTATTTCTAAACTTGTTCTTAACTTAGTCCTAATAATTAATTTTATTTAGTAAACAGTAAAAATAATTTTAATATAAAGTTCTTATAGTAGGTAAAATGCTAACTTATTTACAAACCATAGATCTATTCGTTGTTAAATTATAATTAATTTAAAAGAAAGCAGTTTAATTTTAAAAATATATATATCGAATACCATTATATTTAATTTAAAAACTTGAAGAGCAAATTGATGTTTTAAACATTATAACTGTCGTGGTTATCAAAATGCCTTGGTTAGTTAAAAAGCTTGCCCTATGCATTATACGCATTAAAAGGTAGTCAACCTTAAGTTCTTGCCTTTTGGTTAATTTACTATACTTTCGAACTTATTAGGTATTTTTACTTATTACAATATTTCTCATTTACTTTATTATTTTTTAACATAATAAAAGTATCTTAAGCATATAAGACAGTTGCGTAACATTTTTTTAAGTGTTTTTGGAAACTTAGGCTATGATAATAATACTTTAACTCTCTCATAATGATTTATTTAATAAGCAAATAGAAATGGTTATTGAAAAATGGGTCTAATAGAAAAAAAACAGTTGTTTGTGCAAACGACACTTTTAAAAACCTTTTAAAAAAATTCTCTCTATTTTGTTTGTTAAAGTATATCACTATATATGATATGCATGTTTGCAATTTTAAAGTATGCTTATTATACATACTTTAAAATTGCTTTACTTTGATAAAAAAAGTTAAGTGTGAAAATGAAAAGATCCACATGATTTACTTCAATCACTTTGGCATCTTACACTATTTTCTTTTAACACTGATTTATTAACTAAAGACTTAATAAACTTTATAAAACAGCATTAAATGCTTTATAAAAATTTATATAAATCAAAATTTAGGAAAATATCGCCCTAATAAAATTTTCAAGTAAAAGTAAATGTGTAACATTTAAAATAATTTACATAATTTGAAGTTTACATCAGATATTTGCATAGACTTTCGTTCAGATAAAATACGAAAGATAAAGGATTGTGGTTTAAAAAAAAATGCATAACAATTTCGTAAAACTAAAAAAAATTTTTTTTACACATTTTTTATCTAATTTAAAAAAACATAAGAACTTTTAATAGTTTTCAACTGTATGTCTATATTGAACAAACACGTCATCTGATTAATCTAAAAGTAATCAAATTAAACAATGGAAAAAAATACACCTCATGTATTAACTGGAAATCAATTTATTTATACATAATAACAAAATAAAATATGTAAAGAAAATTATGTATTTACAAAACAAATGTAATTAAGTTTGCATTATTAATTACCAATTGTTCGATTAATCAACTAAAAAAATACTAAATATAGATGCAGCGTATTTTTTTCCAACATTTTCTTTATAGTTTACTTTCTACAGAGTCAACACTATATTAAAAAAAGAAAAAAAAAAAAGAAAGAGAGGGGCAGAGATTTTGCCTTTAGTTTATGCCCATCTTATGTGCCTTATGAAATGCTGATGCTTTTTCTAGAGCATTGATAAAAATTATTCAAAATCTGTAAGAAAAGTTGATTTTTATAAAAAAAAAAATCAGCTATAACCCAAAATAACAGAAATATAATAGCTATCGGTGCAAACAAATTTTGTAAACTATTCAGAAAATGAAATTATTCTTACCTTGATTGTGGCAACTAATTTGCTTAAACACTATTACCTAATGATTGACTTTGCAAATTTTAAATATCTAAAGTTAAATAAGTTAAAACCGTATTTTAATAGTAGACATAGTTAACATATGATTTTAACTTTGTTGGTAGAGCAGAAATAAAGAATTAAAATAACAAAAATTGCTATGTGATGCATATTATACCTATTGAGTTCTCGCCTAGCCTGATTTCTTTCATTTTGATTACAATTTTTCCCAGCTCGCCTAGGCTCATCTCTTATTATTTTTTCAGTATAAAACATTTAAAAGTTTCGTATGTTAAAGGTGTAACATTTACAAGTCTTAAGATTCAAAATAAATAATAAATAAAATAGTTAAGGCCGGACTTCAAGAAGATCATAATGATCTTATAACAAAGCCCTTTCAATGTAGTTAATATATTATGATTATGGTAAATATACTTATATATTAAGTTCAAGCACATTTTTATATTCTATAAATTTAAGTAAACTCATAAAAAAAAAAATAAACTCAAACTAACTTAAACTCATTTTAAAAAATAAACTCAAAATAAGCTCAGAATAAAATTTTAAACATAACAAGCAGCATAATAACTAAAATTGATAAGAAAAAAAATCAAGTCTTTTTTTTGAGTGTGTAATATACAAATAAAACAGCATAATAATATTCTAATTATATTCTACTCTACTATAGTTGTATTTAAATTAGATGTTTTAAAATAATTGAGCAATGTGTAAATATAACATATTTCCATCAAGAACTTAAATTAAAGTTATTAATATATTGATGTAATCTAAATACTATTATTATTTTGTCAATAATTATTAAGAAGGTGGTTATTACTATATATTAAGAAAATATTATTAGTATTTAACCAAAAAAAAAAAAAAGTTTAAAAACAAATTTTTTACATATAAGAACTCATAAATAAAGCTATTAAAAAATTACAAGGCCAGTCGGCTCAGCAAGAACGATTATATGCAATCATCCGTCATTAAAATCCTTTATCCCTTTTGAAATGCATTCAATGCAAAATTTGCAATATATAAGTAAATAATAAACTAATATAAGAAAACCTCTATAAACAATCATATGTTTGCTTTAAGTAAAGTATCTTGGTAATATTGAAACTTCTTTAACTAACTATATTAATTTTTTTATATATAATATTCTTAAGAAAAAGGTCAAAAATTAAATGCAGAAAAATTATATATACATATATATATATATACTTATATATACATATATAGTTTATATATATATATATATATATATATATATATATATATATATATATATATATATATATATATATATATATATATATATAATTTGTGAACAAAAATTAACAAATTATAAACCTTTCAAAAAATTTACTCAAAAAGTAACAGTATAAAAAATATTTAATGAAGTATAAATCTGTTCAATAAAATTTACTTAAAAATATATATATTAAAAAAAATCGAGATATTAAAGATATTAAAAAACTATATATCTGTATAACATTTCTTATAAACACATTTTTTCAAAAATATTTTTTCAACACTTTTTATAATAACACTAACTACAAACAGATTTAATTTATGTTACATTATGGCAGTACACCACTTAACTGGCATTGACAACAATCTTGCTCCCAACAAAGCCAAGTTACATTCTAGCAAAATACACCACTTGGGTGGTACATTATAGCAAAGTACACCAGTTACATTATAGCAGGTACACCACTTGGATAGCGAGGTCAACTCTTTTGCTGTAAACTAAGCCAAGTCGCAACAATTTGAACCAAATCAAATAGCATGATAACCACTAACAAACTTAAAACAAATAACATTACATCATAAACATAGAAACACTCATATATATATATATAAAATATTTACACACTTACAAAATAAAAACCCATATAACCTTAACACATAAAAATATTTAATAAATAAAAATAAATACACGACAAATAAATACAGTAATGATATATAAATATATAAATTAAGCATAAATATACAAATTAGAAATACAAATATATAAATTAGAAACTTTACAAGTGCAACCTTATTTTTTTAATATTTGTTTAATATCAAACCTCGTAATAAATTTTAAAAACTTGCAAAAACAATCGATCAGACATTCTAGTTTTTTATATAAAAGTAAACGGATTTTTTTAACTTTTTTAAATAAGGTATTAAACGATCTTGTTCTTTGATATGTAACATAGAGTTAACTGTGTGAGATATGAAAGTTTTGCAGATTAACACTAACTTTATCAAGAGTTCGACCTTTGAAAAGAGCAACGTTTTCTAGTCATCATCGTCTTTTAACTTAAAAATTACAGATTTATATACTTTAAATAAAGAACTTGAATTGTGTTATTATTATAATGCATGAATTAATTAAATTACATGACTTTAAGTTACTTTACTAATTCAAAAATAACTTAAGGTTCATTCTTTATTACAGAAGTTATCAAATAAAAGTTGTCAATTTTATTACTAATTTTGCTGATTAAGTAAAGTTTTCCATGTTACACTGATGAAATAGATTCGTAATATTTGAGAGTATCTCATTGCGTGAGTTCAAAAATATAAAAAGAAAGAGCATGCTAAGTCCTATTTATAACAAATGGTAAAAAAAGTCTGTGTAAACGCGCACAAATGGGCAGCAGTAGCAGCGGTAAGTTAAGTATTAGCTATAAACGATTATATTGTTATATTATCTGAAAATTATAAAATACAAACTTATCAATATATTGTCTTAGTTTTTCCGCTGAAAAACGTTATTATAATTTTTAATAGTTTAGCGTTGCGCTCTCCTCCGAAATAATTGAGACAACCCTATTAATATAATATACTCTTTTTTGTTTTACTTGCTTTTATTATTCTTAGCATTTAGTAAAGACCACATAACTTAAGATATTAGGTTCTTTTTCATAACACCAGCCATCAGAGAAAGTCAAGTGCAACTTAGTTATACTTAAAAAAAAATTATAGTACCAAAAAATACATAAGAGCTCAGTAATGAAAGAGTTTTTCAATAATGCCCTTCTTTATTAATAAACCTTCGATAAACAGAGAAGATACAAAGCTGTGTTTTAAAAGCAAAAATATATATATATATATAAATATATATTTTTGTGTATATATGTGTTTTAAAAGCAAAAATATATATATATATATATATATATATATATATATATATATATATAAATATATATTTTTGTGTATATATGTGTTTTAAAAGCAAAAATATATATATATATATATATATATATATATATATATATATATATATATATATATATATATATATATATATATATATATATATATATATATATATATATATTGGCCGAAAATAGCTATAGCACAATTAACCATTAAAAAAGGCCTTTTAATAATAAAAATAAACAAAACTTTTTTTACCCCAATAGTTTAGAACTCCATTTTTGTCATAACTGTGGATAATGATTAACAATAAAGTAAATTTCATATCCTATAAATTTACTAAGCTAAAACCAACTTTTAACCGGAAGCAAACTAATAAAGCAATGACAACTAAAAAAAAGGATACAACTTTGTTTGTACATCTGAAATGTCATGAGAAAGTTGGGTAAAATAAAAGTTAGATATAAGTAAGGTTGAATTTCAATTATAACATTAATGTTAGCACTTGTCTGATGGATCCAAGAAATTATAATTGGTAACTTTAAAAAAAAGATAAAGATAAAAAAAAAAAATCTGTAACTTTAAGTTTCTAGTATTTATATTTTGATACTGATTATAGCATGGTTTAGTCTTAGTTCCAAAGTGTAATAAGTAAAAAATAATTAGCAGAAATTTGGACTAATTGGCACTATATAATGCAAAATATTACCCTAACTTGGTAACATCACTTGATTAACAAAGATAATTTAATTGCTTTACACAATGTTTTACACAGTCCTAAGTAACACCACTTTTAAAACATTAAAAAATAGAATATAAACATACATTAACATTGAACATATTATAATTTATAAACTATTAACATTTACTTTACTACACATGAGAACATATTCATCATAAACTAAAAATTTTACATTTGAGAATAAAATAGTGTACTTTTTTTACTACAAACTGCTATATTGGGTTGCAGCCAAATATAATAAAAAGATTTGGTTTACCAGATTATTTTATTACTTCACAATGAGCTTTTTTATAACTTTTTTTAACCTTTTGAGTAAATAACTTATCTGGAAACAGGTGGAACACCATTTTCTTGAACAAATACTACTGCAACTATACTAACTAAATTTTGAAAATATAATCTTAAGTTATGTAAGCAAATTTGATCGTTATGTTATTTTTTTACAAATTACTTCTGCAATTTTTAAGAGTTTTATTTTAAGAAACTTGTTATATAAACGTTGTTTTTTTTTTTTGAGGATTTAAGAATGCCCCTAGTGATCCAAGGGTTTAAAAGTGTTTTTGTTTTGATAACTTTATTAACTTCCGGGAATGCTTTATTATAAAGATTAAAAAATTCAGTTAAAAAGATATCATATGCTTTATCGGCATTTAGATTTAATTGTAAGGTGTCCCAGTTGACACCAGTAAGAAGTTTATTCAAATTTTTGATGGAAGCGTCGTTTATTAACCGTGTTGTAATTAGTTTTTTTCTATCACTTAGAGCATCATAGTCGATGCATTTTTGCGATAAAATAAAAATAGGGAAGTGATCAGAAATGTCAGATTTAAATATACCTGCCCTTATTTTAATATTTACGAAATCATTTGTAATAATTTGATCTATAGATGTTGCACTTTCTCTAGTTACTCGCGTTAGTTTATTGATTAGGGGAATATAACTATTTTGAAAAAATGTGTTAAAGAAGTTCTTAATGTTTTTATTTTTGTCGTATTCTAATATATTAAGATTAATGTCACCAACAATATAAACCGATTTGTTTAAAGATGATTTTTTTTTTAATTATACTTTTAATGTGATTTTCAAATGCCTTAATACTTCCTGAGGGCGGTCTATATAAAGCATAGATGACAATATTTCTTGAAGTTTATTAATAATTTCAACACATAAAGATTGATAATCACTAGTGGTTGAACTTAACTGTGGTTTCCCTTTGAATAAAATTAAATTTTTTATGTATATACACAAACCTCTACCTTCCTTATTTGATGCTCTAACTTGATGAATTAATTTATAATTAGGTAATTGAAAATTGGAATTGTTTTCAATGCTTACGTCGTGACACCATGTCGCGCTGAGACAAATTACCTGAAATATAATGTCAATTTTATGTAAAAATTGTTTCAATGACTGAAAATTTTTTTGAATACTTCTAATATTAATGTGAAGCATTGAAAAAGAATTATCTTCCATTCCTTTATCAATATTTTTTGAATTTGGGTTA